AAAAACTGATTGATTGCATTCGTTATATTAGTATTCTCTCGTTTGATGCAGACTGCTTCAAAAGCGGTTCTCATTTTTCCGATATATCCTTCGATTGTATTTTCCTTAACTATGTCGCTATATTCCTGGACTAAACTATGGTAATTCTTGTTTGATTTCTCACTTTTTCGGGAATTAAATCTGGTATCACCCAAAAATTTGAATAGTTGGACTGCAAAATTATTAAAATATCGTGCCAATTCTATGGAATTCTTTTTAAATAAGATTTGCTTGAATTTCTTTGATACATTATGGTTTGTTGTATCCCAGGTTGAATTGAATAAGTTGAAGAAGCTTTCAAACCTTGACTTTTTTTCACGTCCATCACCAAACAAATCTTTGTTTGTCTTTGCGTAATTTTTCCATCTGTTTATTATGTTTTGACAATTATCTTCCAATTCGTAGTTTTGAAAGCTTGTATTGGCTAATTGAAGAGAGTAAAAAGTACTTGTACTCTCAGTTGCTGAGTTATCTGAATAGCAATGTTCGACAGTATTAGACTCACTACTATCAAAATTGCTACATAATGTAGTTTTTGATATGAATATTAGACAGTGTTGAAACGTAAACGGGTTCATTCGTGATGGGTAGTCTAACATCCTTATCGGTAAGATTAAAAATACAATCTGTGACGGATTGGTCTATTTCGTTATTTATATGGAAGTTTCTTTTTTTAAAAAGTATAAAATTATATTATAATTCTATACTGAAATATAAAATAAGAAGTTAAGTATTCCATTTATCTATTTAGCAACGTGTAAGTGGATATAAGTTTATTTTTTGTTGATATGTGAATGTTGTGGAATATATCGAATAATGAATGAATATTTTTAACAAAAAACTTTGACTTGTGTTTATTTTTCTAACCTTACCAAATTGGGAGCCTCCAAAAATGGACAACAATAGATGACTGCTAAGACAAAAAAGAAGTTACATTAGCTTGAATTAAATATTAAAGTTGTTTTTTTAAAGCAAAGTAATTTTATAAATTTTTATTATGCGCTTCTATCTCGAATCACTGAATAAAATACAAATGTATAAGTAAAATGGGTTACTTTATGTAATTTCTTTATAAAACAGCTTAATTGAAATCTTCTGACGCATAAACTTACTTTTTCATTAACATTAAATGGATTTAATATTATAAAATCAACCTTTATTGTAAGAAGATGAACATCGATCTTCTTATTAGAAATTTCAGTTCATCTAGTGTTTAAGATCCTATGTGTTTATATACCTATTTTCTGAAAAAACTTACAACTCTATTAATTGTTTAAAGTACCATACATTCATATTTTACAACTATAAACCGGTGTTATCAGGCTACCTCTGTTTTTTGCATTATTTTTCTTAACATGAAAGTAACTTATTTAGAAAATGATGTGCTAATATTGATTGGCCCTGTGGCCATAATTGATCCCAGCGGACCAGAAGAGTATGTTGAATTGGGTGAAGTGAGCAGTGGTGATAGTTAAACATACTTTGAGAAAAAAGTGAGCTAATGTCCCGACTATTTGCACATCTCACTATACTAACACACGTTTTTACATTACCAACTAAAAACAAATGAACTTTTTTCATGCACACTTGCACTGATCTTGGCCCAGCGATTGTTAGTTCCTAATACATTTAGATCATTATTACTACACATATTTTTAGTTTATATTCTAATCAATTCATGACGTTTTGCAGTTTGTTTTGGGTTATATATATAATTTTAAGCTTTTTTGTTTTATGGTTTATCATCATCTTCGGCACTAGCACAATAACCATTCCCTTTCTTTATCACCTTAATGCTCGTAGTATCACCGCGTATATCTGCTCCCTTCCTATCCACACTGCTCTCACCACATACAACCCCGTTCATCCCAAGTGTTCGTATCTCTTCATACTGCTTGCCTTCCAATCACGTATCGTAGCATGGCCCGGATTAATGCCGTAAGCATCCGACAAGAAATCTTCATAATAATGAAAAGACAACTCTCAAGTTGACTGGTCAGTTCGAAAAAACATCTAAAATTTCATTTTATACTAGCCGCTATTCCGTTTATGGAACGGAAATATAAATTAAAACTCCATCGATAGGACTCACTTTTCTTTGTTCTTTATTCCATTTCAAATTGACCATTTTCCCTCAGTGGCGTTTCCAATCTGGAGTAATAAAATTAATTTTTAGTTGATGGATGCATTGTCACTGAACATCGATCACAAATGGTAACTGAGCGAGTTTCGGAAGATAGAAATAATATAGAACGATATAACTTTCAATTTACTACCAAAACATCA